TTTTTTGATCAAAAGGACCTTAGAGAGTATTTGGACCAACCCCCTTATTTTATGGATGAGACCCAGAGGCTGCCTTTTCTGCCACATCCCACCTCCCAAATCTGGCTTGTGTAAAACTCAAATGTGGAAAATGTATTACTTTTAATGTGTACCCATATATCTATTTTTTCTCCTTTTAAAGAGATCTCATTATTGACTGGACTGATACTTTGGCAAAAAGGTAATTATCTGTCTATGTTGTTCAGTCATTTTTTAGTGGTGTCCTACTCTTCATGACCCCATTTACGTATACTTGGCAAAGATGCTGTAGTAGTTTGCCATTTGCTTCTCCAGCTCATTTTACGGATGAAGAAACTGAGGCAAATGAGTTAACTGACTTGTCCAGGGTCACATGGCTAGTAAGTGTTTGAGGCCAGAGTTGAACTCAGGAAAATGAGTCTTCCTGACTCCAGGCTCTGCACTCTATCCACCGTGCCACCTAGCTATACTATTTGTCCATGACATACCCCTAAAATTCCCTCCAAATGGAGAAAAAACCCTATGATTTTTAGTGTAAAAACTCTCATTATAAAACATATATTGTAATTTATAAAGTGTTCCCCTCACAGCTGCTATGTGAGGAAGACAGTACAAGTATTTTAATTTTTAATTTTTAAGTCTTCCTGACTCTAGGCATGGTACTCTATCCACTTGCACTACCTAAAATAAGGCATATAATTTCAGACACTACCATCATGTTGATTTTTTTTGGACTATACTTAGTTGTTACAAAGGCGGGTTTTATAAATTGGGGAAAGTCTGGAGAAGTATTAGTGATATAAAAAAAGGAGCATCAATGCTTTAGGAAGGAGCCCAAAATCTAATCCAAATCTATCACTTTATAGATGAAGAAACTGAGGCCCAGAGAGATTAAAGTGACTTGTCCAAGGCCACACACATAGTAAGGAGCAGAGCAAGGTGTCAGACCCAAATAATTTAAAAAGAATAGTAGTCATTAAAAAAAATGAATCAACTAGTTGGAACAGGGTTTAGAGGGCTAGACTTGGAGTCAGGAGGACCTGAGTTCAAATTTGACCTCAGACACTTGATACTAGCCGTGTGACCCTGGGCAAGTCACTTAACTCTAATTGCCTCTCCTAAAAACAAAAACAAACAAACAAAAACCCTGCTTCACACACTTAGTAATTGTGTGATCCTGGACAAGTCACTTTACTTCTATTTAATGGGCTTGAATGAGAATAATATATGCAAAATGCTTTGGAAGCTTTAAAAGGCTATCTAAATGCTAGCTATTATTTATACCAGTGCTGCTAATGTCATGGAATGGTTGTGGGGATCAAATACAAAAATTTTTGTAAATGTAAGCTATTGTTAATAGCATCTACTTTGCATTAGGATCAGGAGTGAGGGGAATCTTCAGCCTGGAGGCCACATGTGTTGAGGCTGCAGGTTCCCTACCTATGGTTTAGGTAAACAAAGATCTCTATCCTATTATTTCAGATACTGAAAGGCTATTTCAGATGAGGTCTACACTAACCTTATTAAGCAAGAATCTATTGCTCATCAAAATGAAAGGAAATCCCAAATTGACCATAGAGACTGATTTTGACTTTGGTAAAAGAAGAAAGAAATTAAAAGACATCTTCAAGCCAAACCTGTTTGGTGTTAGAAAAGAGTTACTATTGGATAGGAATTTTGAAAGCAGTGTTTAGGGGAGTGGAAGCAAACAATAACAAAACTGAATGCAACTTTAAACACGTTCTACATATTCAATTCTTGATTTATCCACGGTGGAGGGGAATGGTTTGGTGGGAAATCTAAAAGAATGGGTAACCCCCAAATACACAGCACCACAAAGCCAAATATATTATTTTTACAACAGTAACAGTTTGTGATCTTACTAATTATTTGTTTAGACCAGTGCTTAAGAAACTAAACAAACAAACAAAAAAAAACTTAATGAACTTGAAACTTTAAAAATGAACTTAAAAAAATAAAAAAAAGATAACTGTTTTTCAATATAATCTGTTTCTTTGTAATCTTATATATTCCCTTGTATGCCTTTAAAAAACATCATTCTGAGGAGGGGTCCATAGGCTTCATCAGACTGCCAAAGTGGTTCATGGGGGAAAAAAGGGTTAAGAACTACTGGTTTAGACTAATATTGAAATTAGGAATAATAATGTGACTGAATGTGGAGGTAGTTGGAGAGACACAATTAACTAGCTTAATTTGTTTTTCTGCAAAAAATTCACAAATTTAAGTTAAGCCAAGTCATTTTAAATATTGGCTCTTAAATTTCAGGGGCTTGTTGCTTCTGAGAAATTTGATCTTGCTAGATACAAACTTATCATATTTTGGTCAAGCTTTCTCTTTTTTCACAACATAAATCAATTATGGTTCTGACTGATCATATTCTATTTTAATACACTTAGCTACATATCAGGAAAAACTAACTTTATTTACAGTCACAAGCACAAACCCTGAATGCCACAGCATTCTTGAGTTATTCCTTTGTACCGAGAGTTTTGTTGATGAAGATTCTGCCATTTACACGCATAAAATTTGCCTCTCATACTCTGACTTCCTATGCTTCAACATATGTGATATCACTAAAAAGGAAACAGAAATTTTGAATATTTGCTTATGAAAATCAGTGAAGTTTTTGTGGAAACGGTTTTTTGAGGGGGTCCCTCCTATGACTGTCTGAAGTCCCCGAGACTATTTCACACCCAACATATGCTTACATAAATATACCATCTATAAATAGCCACCTGTGTGAAATTAAAGATGGGAGAGTTAGGACAGCTTTACCCAGTGAAATTACAGGACACACTCTTACAGCTGTCGTGTCCATTTATTCCTACCAACCTGAATTTCTGACATCTCTCATCTATATTCACACACATTCCACACATTTCTGCTTTTGAAGACAATGTGGTTTGTAAGGACTTTTTTTTAAAATATACTTCTCACAAAGCTGGCTCAAAAGTAGGATTGGAGGTTTGTTTGTATGTAACAAGTTACATAAAAGTGAAGAAAAATTATTTTCACAAGTGTTTTTATTCCTTATCTAGCGATTAATGCCAGACTCTTGCCAATTTTTTTTCCTTCAACTACACGCAGAAGCCCTTTCACATTTTCTGACAATCCTTCTGAAGGAAAAATACTGAACTTTCAAACATTCTTGGGTAAGAATCCAACTGTAAGAGAGCCACCCTGGTATGCATGGATGGCAACAGGGAGAAAAATATGCCTGGACACCTTTGGGAAGGAACATTCTTTGTCTTTCAGAAGGCAGGTAGTAATTTAGCCATACAGAGTTCTAGTAGCTAAGTACAGTAAGATAGAATATGTTCAGTCAGGACCATGACAAAACACCAAGCATTTCTCAGTCTTTCAGGGCCCTGAAAAAGCTGTAACTGCTAATAAAAGAGGAGACAAATTTACAGAAGCAAAGTCACAGTTCTCTAAATAGAAGGGACTAAGTCCTTCAGCACTTAATTTGTGAATCAAAAAGCCCTATCGGGACCCTTCCACCCCCACTAAAAACAAACACTCTTAACAGCAGGCATTAGTTTGAGTGTTCAGTGGAATGTGTGTCTTAACATAAAAGATGTCACTTTATGAGGGGGAAAAAAACCCAGACAATCCTTAAGAGAATTGAAGTCATGTTTCTTCCTTGATGCAGAAATCTTCACAGGTTAAAATGACTTCACACTCATTGCAATACCCAAAACCCAAGAGGATCCTAAAGGGAAGATACCCTGTTCTCAAATGCAGAGCTCTCTCTTTCAGAGAGGTGAAGAAAGAAAAGTCTGTCCCCACTGTCTGTCTTCCTTTTGTGGATAAATGCCCACTAGCAATGGGGTTCGCTGTTTGTTTGTTTTTTTAATAGGTTTCTTTTATAAGTTTATAGTCTTTGTGTGAGAAAAAAAATAATATTTAGGGCCAGTTGATATAGTACACAAAAACAAAGAAAGCCACAGTTGTTAAAAGAGAGCAAACAGGATTCCTTCCTTTCAAAAAGGAAAGTGGGGTAGGCTAGTAGAAGAGAGTCTGAGTTGGTTTGACTTGAAATAGACAGCACCAAAAAACCACACTGCTTTGCCTTCATCATTTGTCCCTTGTTACTGTTTAAATATCAGATTATTTAAGCCATGCAGCTTTCTGTCAAATCATCTTGGAAGCTGGTTCCAAAGTTAGGCTCCCCTGCAAGGGGAAAGAATGACTTTGGTGACTTATGAGGCTCCCTGGGGTCAGAAGTTTATTCTATTCCTGGTTGAGCTGCTGACTCCCTGCCCCCTCAGGAATCACTTGACTTGTCTCAGTTTACCTAACTAGAAGGTGGTAATAATAATAATAGCTCACATTTATGTAGCAAAAGCTATTTCCCCTTCCACAACGATCCTGACAGGTAAAGAGTAAGGAAGGTGGTACGCTTTAACCTATAAAGCATCACATGAAAGCTATTATGAAAACACCCTAGCCACCTGCATGGAAAGTGACTTGTTTTCATGGGAACCTCACATTATGAGCATTTAGATGACATTCTTTATACTGCTGAAAACTAAGCAGAAAAAAGGACAACCAATTAAAATATCACTGAAAACTCACAAATTTATATACCAAAGAAATCTTTCAAATATCCTCCAAAGATGAATCTTTCTGGGGGAAAAAAGGGTCCTATTACCCTTCTTTAAAAGGATATTTCTAATGTACTCTTATGACATCTAAACAAGTCTAAATCACGAAAAAGGCTTGTATTAAGTACAGGCTGAAAAAAAATCAAATAAGATTACCACTAGGCAACTTGAAAAATGGTTTATACCATAATTTTTCCTTTTTTAAAACAAACCACCCTTCTTTATACTTATACCACTTAATATATCTACTGAAGACTTATTTTTGGATATTACCCTCTTTTATCACAACATCAAGGAACACAAAACCAAATAAGCATTCAGATTTACATTTTTTAAAAAAATTTATTTGTGATCTGTACATGTGGTAAAGTGGGGGCCTCATTTATAGACTTTCAGAGGCAAAAACCAAAAAATCCAAAGTAAAAATGTATAAATACAATATATATCTTCTTACAAAAACGGGAGATTTACAAAATATACATACTGTAATTGTCTCTTCTATTTTACAATTTTCACATGCACTTGAGAGAGACAACACAAATGACGCCACAGTTTGAGAACTGGTATTGCTCTGTAAGGATTTGATTTGGAGATTCTAAGGGCTAGAATGTCAGTTTTTCCTCCCTTTAATTAACATGGCAGCTCTACTCTCCAGCACTTCATATATAAAGTTAGTTTCCAAGTAGTGACAGTATCCTCTACATAATTACTGTTAGGAAACATTGTGGAGAGTAGGATAGGAGGGCAGTGTCCAACAGTGGAGAAGAAGAAAAGGCTACTCTGGGGTTCTCTGTAAAATCAGCAATTAGGCAAAAACCATGAAAGTTCTACTCCAGGAAACTTTGCAAAAGAATTCATGTTCTACTCCAAGATAAAAAAAAAAAAGAACATGATTTAAGATTAATAAACTTAGGTCATCTAGTACATTTCAAAAGAACTGTGGAATTACTTTGAAGTTTACCTTTTAATCACTTTTCCTAAAAAATGGGGCCCACAATATGAACTTTCCTCTTTTGGTCTTAGAAAAGATTAATCTTGATCACTTTAACAGTGCTCTCATCTTTCCAGATTACAATCCCTCACAAAAATAAAAGTCTCAGGGTCAGCATACACATGTTTTAAAAACAGATTTATGGATGGGACTAAAAAAAACAGGACAAAATGATTCTTTATGGTTTAAACTTTTCCCTTATCGCAGGACTGAAGGCATTATGTTTTTCCTTTCATCTAGAAAGGTTCAAATAGAATGAGAAAGACTAAATACAAGCTTATAAGGAGAAGGGATATAAAGGGAGGGATTTCTCTGAACATTTTAGCAGAGCTTGCTATGTCAGGTGTTCTGAATTAAATTCCCAGTTTAAAACAAATAGGGTAACAAAAAAAAAAAACCCAAAACCAGAAAACCAACCCTACCCTTCAGTTTCCTTCAGTTAAACTAGAAACTTAAGATTAAATGGGAGTATGAAAATATACTGCCTTTTACTTTTTTTTCACAAAGGGAATGATCATCTATCCTAAATTATAATCCAAGTGTAAATCTCTGATTTTTAGGGGGGCTGCTATGCCTATGAAAGTTTCCCTTTTCAGTTACATCTTTCCACTCACAGACACTTTTTTGTTTCCTCTTTTTTGTCTGGCAACAAAGACAAGGAGTTGTTTTTTTTTTTTTTTTTTTAAGCAGCATTCTGGTTGTGAAAAGTTTGTGACTTGTTGCCTTTCAATATATAGAATATTATTAAATACTCCATCCCCTACCAAAACAATTTAAAAGCGTGTATTTGAGGAAGAGGGGAAGCAAAAGTCACTACTTATCTTAGAAAAGTTACAGCTAAGGCATCCAGAGCAGCCTGGTTCTTTTTAGCAACTCTACCCAGTTCTTTAACATACATAATAGGATTTAAAATTATTGCCTCTCAAGATTTTCAAACGCTTATTTTACAGGACTTGAAAGGAGTGAGGGAGAGAAACAGAAGTAGGGGAGGGGGGAGAGGGAATTGGATAGAAGAGACTAATGTCTGACCCTGGAAATTAACCCATCTGGGCTCCAGTTTGGCCCCAGTGAAAAGAGATTATGGTTTGACCACTGCTTGACAAGGACACTGCATGGGGTCCTCCCTTCTCCCAACAAAGCCGCAGCAGACACAGCTTTACCTTTCACCCGGGCACCACAGGAGTTAGACAAGCAACTTTCCTTGGAGCACAGAGCCAACAGTACTGCCCCAGAGTTCAGCCCCCTGAGAGGGGGAAGCCTTCAGAATCTGTTCTTCAGGATTTTCTTTGCCGGACCAATGTCCTACTGTACCTTTAAATGATTTTTAAATTATTATTATTCTCGTGGAAGACTGTATCCAGAATGTCTTTCCCGCCCCACCCTCCCAACCTACAAGTCTTTACATTCAAGTCTCCCTTGTTCAACCCACCCCTCTGCCAGACTCTGCAACGAAGACTACAGAATGTTCTTTGGTGAAGGGAAGGAGGCGAGGGAGTTCAAAACAAAACAAAAAAACAAAATGCGAAAAGTTCTTTCCCCAGCCTCTGCACCCAGCAGCGGATTTGGTGGGGGTGGGAGGGTGGAGAGGAGGGCAGAGGGGGACCGGTTCATACCGCAGTCTCCCCTTTGCTGCTGTGACTGAGTCTGTGATAAAAGCGGCGCCACGACTGCAGGGTCTTGCCTGACCAGATCCAGAAGCCGGTGGTGATGCCCACGATCATGGTCATTAAGTACTTGATCATGAAGACCGTAAAGTCAGGGCTCATAGGGGGGAAGTGACCAGGGGGACAGGGCACGGCATAGCTTTTACAAGTCTGCAGCAGCCAGGTGCGCTCCCAGTGCTCCCGGAACGCCTGCTCATAGAAATAACAGGCCAGGACAATAGTGGCTGGCACGGTATAGAGCACGCTGAAGACCCCGATGCGCACCATGAGCTTTTCCAGCTTCTCAGTCTTGGTGCCATCGTGTTTCATGATGGTTCGGATTCGGAAGAGGGACACGAAGCCGGCCAGCAGGAACGAGGTGCCGATGAAGAGGTAGACGAAGAGAGGGGCCAGCACAAAGCCCCGCAGCGCATCCACGCTGGACAGGCCCACGTAGCACACCCCACTCAGCAGGTCCCCATCCACCTGCCCCATGGCCAAAATGGTGATGGTCTTCACCGCTGGGACGGCCCAGGCGGCCAGGTGGAAGTACTGCGAGTTAGCTTCGATGGCCTCGTGGCCCCATTTCATGCCGGCCGCCAGGAACCAGGTGAGGGAGAGGATGACCCACCAGATGGAGCTGGCCATGCCGAAGAAGTAAAGCACCATGAAGAGGATGGTGCAGCCCTCCTTCTTAGTGCCCTGCGCCACCGTGCGGTAGCCCTCCTCCGAGAAGCGCTCCACGCACACGGCCCGGTCCTCCAGAAGGAAGCCGGCCACGTGGGCCACAGCCACCATGAAGTAGCAACCGGACAGGAAGATGATGGGCCGCTCCGGGTAACTGAAGCGCCGCATGTCCACCAAGTAGGTGAGCACGGTGAAGAGTGTGGAAGCACAGCACAGCACCGACCACACGCCTACCCAGAGCCGAGCAAAGCGCCTCTCCTCCTCCTTAAAGTACATGAGCCCGTTGGCCCTACCCGGCTCGCACGGGGCCCCGCAGTCCCGCTCGCCAAGGAAACGATAGCCCAGGTAGGGCGGCACCTTCAGCTGTCGGGGGCAGGAGAAAGGAAAGGAGGGACGCCCGGGTCCCTGGGGATGAGCAGTGAAGGGCAGCTCGGGCAGGTAGGGCGCAGTGGGGTAGGCGGTAGGGCCTCCACCAGCTCCTCCAGCACTGTCCGATGTGTTTTGCCCCACACAAATCTCACCCGCACCGTGCACCGGGAAGTTCTCGCATCGGAGCCGCTCGGGCCACTGGAAGCCGAACTTGTTCATGAGCGCCTCACAACCCTGGCGGGCCCGCTCACATAGGGAGCGGCAGGGAGGGATGGCCTGCTCCAGGACGGTGCACACGGGAGCGTACATGGAGCAGAGGAAGAAGCGCAGCTCGGGCGAGCACTGCACCTTCACCAGCGGGTAGAACTGGTGCACCTCCAGCCCGGCGTCCTCTTGGTTCGTGTGGCCCAGCAGGTTAGGCAGAATGGTCTGGTTGTAGGCAATGTCCGTGCACAGAGGGATGGAGATGGGCTGGCAGAAGCCGTGGTCCGGCACCGAGATGCCTTTCTCGCCATGGTAAGGCTGCGCCCCCGAACCCGCCGGCAGCAAGCCCAGCAGCGCGGCACCCACTAGGGCGCACAGGCCCAGCGAGGCGGAGGGGACGGCCGTGCCTAGGCCCAGCATTGCTAGCCGCGGGAGAAGCGCGCTCCTCACCCAGAGTTCGGGGAAGCCGACTTAGGCGTCTGAAGAGGCGAGGAGGGGATCCCGGGGAGGCGTCGCCGCTGCTCCCCGCACATGAGAGTCTAGAGGCGGGGCGCTGAGAATAGGGGCAGGGGTCCGGGGTTGAGGGGGAAGGTGTCCAGCCAAGGGTGCAGCCGTCGTCTCCCTCCCACCCCAGGCTGAGGTCTAATAGCAGTCAGCCACCCGGGCGCCAGAGATCGCTTCTCCACCAAGTCCTAAGCCTTTCTGCCTTTCCCAGGGGCCAGGAGAAGAGAGATTCCCCTCCGCCACCCCACCCTGCCAAGCCGGGACGTAACGGTTCGTCTTTCTGGGTCGAGAAGCAACAAGCGCCTCCGATTACGTTCGAAAGTTTCCCGAGGTCCCTTTAATCTCCTCCTCCTCCCCAGCCTCTTCCCCCCCCCCCCCCCCCCCCCCAAAAGCCCAAAGTCTGTCCCCGCCAAGCACGGGGTTGGAGCAGCCACTGGCTCACTCAGGCTGCAGCCGCCGCCGCCGCCTCTATTCCTGCGGCTCCTCCTCCTTCTCCTCCGCTGCAGCCGCCTCCTCCTCCTCCTCCTCCTCCTCCTCCTTCTCGCCTCGCCTCTCTTTTCTCCTGCCTCTGTCTCCTCCTGCTCCACTCCTCTCAGCTCGCGGTCCCACAGGCTCCGACCAAAGCTCTTGTTAAACGGATTATTCCTGCTTCGAGCCTTATGCGCGGCTTTCCTCAGAGAGTTCAATAAGTTTGGGAAATCCAATTACTGGGCGTCTTGGGCCTCCCCGACTTCGATTCCCTCCGTGGCACTGGCCCGGGCTCGCGTGGCAGTCCGACGTGCGGCCCCCAGGCCCTTTCTGCCACTCGGTCCCAGCAGTGGCTTCAGGCACCACCTCCCAGGACCGAGAAAGGGATCTAGGGGTCCGGAGGAACGAATTCCAACTCGCTGCACTCCCCAAAGGAAGAGTATATCTCGCAGTGTTCCAAGGAGCCCCGCCTCCTTTGCCCCCCCTCCACCCCATTCACAAACCACCCAGGGGGGCGGGTCTCAGTGGCCCAGCCAAATCCAATGGAAGCCTTTGTTTTCTCTGGAGCTTCCTCTCGATTGGTCGGAAGTCGAAAGGGGGCGGGGGAAGGTTTTGGGGAGGCTGTGTCTGGAGTGCTTTGGGCGGATTCCTTAGGGGAGGGGAGGAGAAGGAGGAGGGGGAAGGAAACTTTTAAGAAACTTTTTTTTTTTTTTAATATCCCTTATTCGCTTTGGGAGAAAAACTCACTCTAAGGCAAACTGGTTTTCAACTTTTATCCTTCTGTGGAACGATTCGTTTTCCTTCTAGGAATATTAAAATACCCATTTAAAGATGTCGGGGAGGGTTATACTCATCTCAGAGAAGAAAAGGTTTGGAAGGACTCTTCCAAGAAGTGTTAGGCTTGGGTGGAAGGGCTCGAGTCACGCTGAACGGGCTCAGAGCTGAGGCGGGCGGGGTGGCTGGTTAGCCAGCGCTATTCTTAAAGTGTGGGACTAGACTCCGTTTTGGGAAACAGGAACCCTATTCGAATGTCTTTCTACTTTAAACTCAGCACCAGGCCAACCACGTGAGAACACCAATGCCTTCCCGTTGTCCTCCCCCCTCCACTTTTTTCAAAAAAAAATTTAAAAGAGGAATTTGGAGGAGGGAAGGAGAAAGTCTCTTTCCATAGATGAGGGACCCTGCTTGTCTCCAGGAGGAGCACGAGTATCCCAGCGGGCCTGGGCTGAGGGAAGTCATTCTTAGGGGCGGGAGAAAGATTGGTTTCTCGACCCATCTCCCTGCTCCCCAGTAGGAGTGGGCGGGAGAGCTACAGGAAGCTTTTCCCGATCCCCCTTAATTCTAGTGCCTTCCCTTTGCTGATTATCTCCAATTAATCCCGTATATAATACTTGTTTGTACATAATTGTTTGCATGTGGTCTCACCCTTTAGACTGTGTGCTGCTTGAGAGTAGGGACTGTCTTTTTTTTTTTTTCCTTGCGTCTCTTTGTATCCCCAGAGTTTAACATAAGGCCTGTCACAAGGCGCTCTATAAGTGTTTCTTAACTATTGACTTCCGAAAAAAAAGGGAAGAAAAGTGGGTATGATGAATGCATCTATTCCTTAGTTTCTTAGCGATCCTCTCTGTCCCGTATTCCAGGGTTGAAGCCTGAAGATCCTGGAATGCAGGAATTCTTAAACTTTTTTTTTTTTTTTTGGACCCCTTTGGCAGTCTGGTGTAGCCTAGCGACCACTTCTCAGGTGATGGTTTTGAATACGCAAAATAAAATACATAAGATGACAAAAGAAATCAGTGATAGTGAAATAGTTATCAAAATGCAAAAAATAAAAAGTTCACGGTCCCCAGGTTAAGAAGCCCTATACTGAATTGCATTGAGTTTAGCTGGAAACTTACATACTGCTTTTGGGAGGAAAACACCTACAGAGAGATATACAATAGGTAAGGGGGGAACCTCTGGAAAAAGCGTTACAAATTCTTTGGCTCAAAACCCCCTGGAGCACCCCACCAACGTCCTCAGGAGTACTTAGTTCAGAGGCTCCCAGAGATAGAAGGGATCTTAGAGGTCATCTCATCATTATCATCAAAAAGATTTAAGAGCCTCTACTGGGTCAGGCCCATTGGTAAGCTCTGGAGATACAAAGAAAGGCAAAAACCCGGCCCCTGGCCTCAAGGAACTCACATTCTAATGGAGGAGGCAAACTACGAATAACTTATGTACTTAAAAGATATAGTCAGTGTACGTGGGAAGAAATCTTAGAGGGAAAGTACCAGCAGTATGGACTATCTGGATCCAGCGGTTTGCAAAGTGTGATCCCAAACCCCTGAAGGTCCCAGAAACATCTTCGGGGGGTTTGCAGGGTGAAAACTATTTTCATAATAATATTAAGATGTTATTTATTTATTAAAATACTCCTTCCTTTTCCAATTATATATCTGTGTAAGGCAGAATTTTCTTAATATAGTTCAACTAAAACAAAGTATCATATCAGATTGAATTACAGAAGCAAATATAAGAATCCTATTTTCTATTGAGCCAAACATTAAAGAAAAATGCAAAAAAAAAAGTTTAAAATGTCAGTAAATTTTTTTGGGAAATAGAATTATTTTTCATTAAAATGTTATTTATGTGTTAACATCTACTGGGTTTATCTATTATTGTTATTTTAATGAATTAATAAGTACTTTAAAACATCAGTTTTAATGACTAGTATGGTAAATATTGATAGGTATCCACATCAACTCTTTGAGATCATTAGCAATTTGTAGCAGTGTAAAGGGATCATGAGATTAAAAAGTTTGAGAATCACTTATCTAGTTCAATTCCTTGATTTACAATGAGGAAACCTAGGCTCTGAAAGTTTAAGTGGCCATCCTGAATTTACTCTTCATTGTAAGAGGGTGGGGCAACTTTTTTTTCCATCTTTGCAGCAAATTTTTTCCCCTCATAGAAATGAGCAGTTAGACAAAGTTAAGTTATCATTTGTTTGGAGATTTTTTTTTTTTTTTTTTAGTGGGAGGGGAGTGTTTCATCAGTTTAATACTCTCATGCTTATGTTCAGGTTACCATTGGCAATTGTGATGTCAGACTGTAGTTTTGGGGGTCTGATTTTTTCTACTAGCTTTAATATAATATAATGAATTGCTTCTATATCAGAAAGCTTCCATATTCAAAAAGAAAAATAAAATCGATCAGATTGATCATGGAGTATTTATGTTCCACCCCTCTAACTTCCCCCATCCCCCATCAAAATCAACACTAAGTGATTTTAGGCTTTTTTTTTTAAGATAACATTCTGCCTTTGCCTCCCCCCACCCCCCAAGCTTATTTTTGGTTAAAGTAGAGCTGATAAAGCTTTTGTTACAGTTGCCTTAATCTTAACAAGAAGACTTAAATGATTAGAAAGTTGTGGCAAACCAAAAGCAGGAAATTTACACTTGGAGGCTGACACTGTGTTGCCAACTCAGAGGATGCTTTTTATTTTTTGGAGCCTACAAGTGCATCTAAAGCCCTTTCTCTTGAGGAGAATGTGTTATGATCAGTCCTTTTTTGATCTTCAGAGGATTTTTGTTGTTATTTACATCTTGGCCATAATGAATAATGTTTACAGTTATCTTTCTTCATTATTTCTAGAAAATAAACCTAGGTGTTAGACTTCACTATCTTAAGATGGTCCCTGACTTGTTTCTTTGGTCAAATGGCCTCGCTTATAAAATATGTCACCGATGCTCAATCCTTTGGCCTCATTGGATCATAGATTTAGAACTGGAAAGGTCATTGAGTTCAATTTCCTCATTTCATAGATGAAGAAACTGAGTCCCAGATTTGTCTAGAATCACCTTTAGGCCTTCCTAACTCTCAAGTTGAGTGCTCATGGCATGTTAACTCACTGTTCAGGGTCTCAGTTTCTCCGTTGTATTTAGGGATGGTGATATTGTACTGAAGTATCTCATAGGTGATTTGTGGAAATTAAAATGACTTCAACAATATAAATGGAATAAAAAGTAACAACAAAACAATGAAAATGGAATGATTATGAAAAGTTTGGCCCCAAAAAAGAGATATGAGAAGGCACTTCCCCTTACTCTGTTGTACTACACATGATGTCAAACTTTCTATATCATGATTAGTTTTGCTGAACTCCCATCACCATCACATCCCTTTTAAAAATTTTTTATTATAGGGGATGATTCTCTGGAAAAGGGAGAAGGAGGAAGAAGGAATCACTAGGAAATGTAGGTGATATAAAAAAGAAGATGCCAATGGTTTTTTTTGTAAAAAATTTTTAAAAATTAAGGATTCCTCCCTTTAATTTCTAATGGAAGTATATTATATGTATAAAGAAAATACATTTTCTTTCTTTCTTTTTATCTAAATTTCCTGTCTTTTAAATCAAAGTTTTATGCTTACTCATCAGGCCACAGGTCCTTTTTTGTGTTTTGAGGGAGAAATTGCATCCACTGTCACTAAATAAAAGAACTGGCCTGACAAACTATAGTAGCTCAAATACAACCCAAACATGTTTGTTTGATGTGGAATCTCCTTCTGTGCAAACTCTATCCTCTAAACCCTTTACTGTTATTAGTAATAAGGATAAGAAATTGGAAAAAATATGCAACAGGCAAGAGAGGAAACAAATTGAGATTTTAAAATCAAACTCAAATATGAGGACATGGACAAATTATTCTGTAAGGCTTTTTTTTTTTCTTTTTTGGCAAGGCATTTGGGGTTAAATGACTTAGCCAGATTGACGCAGCTGGTGTCAGGTGTCTGAGGCTGGATTTGAACGCAGGTCCTTCTGCTTCCAGGGCCAGTGCTCTACCCACTGTACCACCTAGTTGCCTTTCTATATGGAAAATTAACCACTAACCCTCACCTTCACCCCAA